CGTAACATATTCAAAGGGAAGGAGTAACGTAACATATTCAAAGGGAAGGAGTAACGTAACATATTCAAAGGATAATTAGCAGCACTGGTGTGTATGTAGTTGACAGGTGTAACTGCCGTCAGGTGGGCAGGTGTGTTGTGTGTGTAGCTGAGGACAGGTGTACCTGCCGTCAGGTGGGCAGGTGTGTTGTGTGTGTAGCTGAGGACAGGTGTACCTGCCGTCTGGTGGGCAGGTGTGTTGTGTGTGTAGCTGAGGACAGGTGTACCTGCCGTCAGGTGGGCAGGTGTAGTGTGTGTGTAGCTGAGGACAGGTGTACCTGCAGTCAGGTGGGCAGGTGTAGTGTGTGTGTAGCTGAGGACAGGTGTACCTGCATTCAGGTGGGCAGGTGTGTTGTGTGTGTAGCTGAGGACAGGTGTACCTGCCGTCAGGTGGGCAGGTGTAGTGTGTGTGTAGCTGAGGACAGGTGTACCTGCTGACAGGTGGGCAGGTGTGCGGCAGCAGGGGGATCACAGTGTTACTTAAACACTCGCAGAGTGGACATAAAAACTCTCCTTTCTCCACATCGTAGCTGGTGTGACCTCTGAGACGCTGCTGACGTCTCTGCTCCTTCAGCTGCACCGCCTCAAAGTACCTGAAGACAAACAGGTGTGGAGGACTCACATTACCTGCCCTGTGAGCTGCTGATTGGTCAGATTAGAGCTGCGATGCCTCACCTCTGCCAGCAGGTGGCATGCATTATGTGTCCACAGCTGGCTGTGTGGATCCCCAGGGACAGGTCAGGGTGCATGAATAAGGGCTCATGGTGCTCTGAGAAAGACGGACAAGTTGAGCAGCAATCAGGAGCAGACAGGTGAGTGTCACACAGGTGTGTGTAGCTCAACAGGTGAGTGTCACACAGGTGTGTGTAGCTCTCAACAGGTGAGTGTCACACAGGTGTGTGTAGCTCAACAGGTGAGTGTCACACAGGTGTGTGTAGCTCAACAGGTGAGTGTCACACAGGTGTGTGTAGCTCAGCACACCTGGGTTAGGAAGGCTGCGGCTGCGATTCTTGGACAGAACTGTGGACCTCTGGATGAACGCTGCCAGGACCATTGCTCTGCCGTGACCTTTGACCTCTTGTTCCTCCTGACACAGAATGCAGGTGACCACCTGACGGCGCTCTGCCCTGCCCATCCTCCAGGGACCAACGCACACCTGAGAGGAACAGGTGAGCTCTGAGCTGGGAGGACTAGAAGGAGACAACCAAAACATTTGGATGAGCAGGACACAGCATGTGCACACATTAGCAGCTCCCAGGTGTTTCCAGGTGTGTGAGCAGGTGTACCTGTGCTCGGCAGCAGAGGTGGAAGCCTCCAACTCCTCCATGCTCTGCTGGAACAGCTCTTTGTTCTCGTTGATGAAGTGTTTCTGCATCTCTGACATCTGAGCCATGATCTTCTCCCTGCGGAGCCGAGCCATCTCTGCTTTCCTCTTCCTCTCTGCCTTGTCCTTGTCCCTCATCGTCTGCTTACAACAACGACAACGTCCCGGGAAATCAATCAATCAATCAATCAATCAATCAATCAATCAATCAATCAATCAATCAATCAATCAATCATTAAATAAATTAATAACCAGTCAGTCAGTCAATCTTCACGTTGTTTCTTATATTGGAACAATAAAACAGTTTCCATCAGCCACAGGTAAAGAACAGGAAGTTGTTCTGACCTCCTCCAGATGCCAGCCCTGGTTGGCCGAGGTGCTGAATGTAGATGATGTTCGCTCTCTGATGGTTTTAATGTTTCCCACCATCTGTTCACCAACACACACACACACACACACACACACAGACACACACACACAGACACATCAGCTGGACGTCCACCTGCCACCCATCCCTGCAGCTGGGACAGCAGTGTTTGTTTATGATTTTCTTCATGTAGAAACTGGACTGTGGTGGTCTCAGATACAGGTTTAAAGTCTCCTGTAATGGTCTCTGAAGGACTGAGAAGTTCTTAGTCATCAGAGAACGTCAACACAACACCAACTGGACTTCTTTAGTTGTGATTCAGTTCAAATAAACTGAATAGAGTTCTGTTCCTGCAGGTCCACGTGGAGTTTAAACTGAAAAAACTAAATAATTCAGTCTAATGAAGTCAGCATTCAGCTGTAAATCTTCACTTATTACAGTTTCCCACGCTGAGCAGCACACCTGGGATGCAGAAGCTCGGTGTGGTTTGCTTGGCATGAAAATCCATTTCCTCTAAAGCATTTTGAATTGAAAAAGGACTGCACTGAGAAGTATTAGGATCCCAGCAGACATGGTTTCACCAGGGGTTTGCTAGTTGTTCCTGTTGATGACCTGCAGGAGTCGTGCAGGAGGGGTGTTCTGTGGTGAGGAAGCTCAGCTTGGAGACACAGTCCAGAGGAGGAGCTGGTCCTAAAAGGAGGTTCTAATCCCAGCCTGCAGTTTGTGCTCCCCTGCCTGCTGCCTCAGGACACTGCAGGATTTATCCAACATGAATGAGTCACAGTCAGACTCTGAGCATGTTGTTGATGAGAGGATAACATTAGAACGTGATATAAAACTCAGAAAGGCTGCTGCTTTAAATGTTTCCCTGTTATTTATCAGAACTAGTAATGTTTAGGAGGTGAGCCTTCTCTTTTCTTCCAGGAGCCCCTGTAAACTGAGCAGACCACAGTGACATCAACACGTACCTTTAGAATCCAGGTGATCATGTCTTTGTGGACCTCCAGGTGAGGTGCGTTCTGCAGACTCTCTAATAAAGCCAGAACACTTCCTGAAGTACTGGGACCTTCACCTGGACCTGGACACACACAGACAGAATGAAGGAGACAAAACAAAAACTAGAAAAAAAATATTTCAGACAAATCAGAAATACTACATGAATGACTTCATGTTTGTGTGTGTGTGTGTACTGACGTGTGATCTTAGATGTGTAGTTAAAAATGATGTCGTCCTCTGTGCTGCTGTTCTCCAGCTGCTGCTGCTCCTCCAGCAGAGCCATGCCCACCAGGTGGAGTGTCTACATGTGGGAGGACAAAGGGAACGCACAAACACAGGAGTCACATCAGCCAGTTCACCATCACCTCACCTGGTGCTTCCAGTTCGTTTTAACCCACTCCACTGGGAGCTGCTCTCAACCTTTTACATAGCAGATACAGAATCTGATTTATAAAACTGGAACAAAGACCAGAACATGAATGTTAGACTAAAACTGAACAAACAGCTGGATACAAGTACTTGTTAAAACTCAGGCCTGTACTGTTTGTCCCTAGAGTACCCAGTGTACATGTAGGCTATATATATATCTACACAGTATCTCACAAACGTGAGTACACCCCTCATATTTTAGTAAATATTTAATGACACTTTGATAAAACAGTCAGTGTACAGCCTGTGTAGTGTCCCTGAAACAGTCATTACTGTGTAAACCACTGGCAACAACAACTGCAGTGTTTCCATTAATTCAGAAATGTTATTAAAGTCACGTGAATACGTTTGTTCTCATGATAAGTCATTAC